TGTGTTTTGGATCACTAATTGGATTCCGTAGCCTCCGATCTCCGCAATCCGATCTCTCGTGGCCGCCGGCATCTCCGGAGTTGAAGGTAATTTGATTTCCTTTCGCCTCTTCTTTCTGATCTGTTTCTTCGTCAGTGCCAATGGAGGTTTCTTCCTCTTCCGATTGTTGAGTTCGATTTCATTGTTGCAGAATCCGCCATTGGCCATGGCCATCAGAATCCTCGCGGCCTCGAGCATGGCTTCATCTTCAGGCTTCGATTCTTCCGCACTGGAAGAACTTCTTCTTTTTCGAGGAATGTTGCAGACTCCGTGGGTTGAATCCGGAAAAGACAACTCTGGAAGAAGGCCTTCGATCATGTCCATTCCCATTGGAGATTACAGAGATGAAGGAAGTCTGAGAGTTCAAATTGTACGAGAATTGAAGTTGCGATTCCATTAAATAAAGGTGAGAGCTCACATTTATGGAAGTAAGATCCATATTCCAAATTGAACTTCAATCGGTTTTCATCGTATACTCTGTAAAGAGGAAATGAAATTTCATTCCATAAATGATGCTCTGTTTCGACCCAACGGACTCAAAATTCGCAATCAGCTGATCTTCGATCAAAACTTTCCATAATCTTACATTCAATTTTAATAGTCAATATCTTCCGCCACTCACTATCTGAAAGCGACCTGAATTTGGTTGTTAAATTTTTTTGTTCTTCCTCTCTCTCTCTGAAATCTCCAATTCTCCACCGGAATACTTTCTCTCTCTTCAAAGTTGACATCGCACTCTCTCTCTACTTTCATGTGTTTGTTTTTTATTTTATTCATACAAATTTCCTTAATTATTTCTCCTTTTTTTTTTCTTTTTTACGGTTTTCCTTAATTATTTATAATCCATGTTACGATTACTATAAATTATGTTATTTTTTTTCCTTTTATTCAAAAAAGGGTAAAAAGCCTATAATTTAGTAATGTCTTAATCTCCTTTCAAAAAAATAAAAAGAGTAATGTCTTATTCAGTTTTTATTATTATCATTTTTCTAATTTAATAACATGGGGAATGAGTTTTTTTTTTTTCAAAGTAAATACATTAAAAAAAATTAGGGAATTTCACGGCCCAAGATCAAGACACAACACCAAAGGCAGACACAAGAATACAAGATTGAAAACAAAATTTTCACATTTTATATTTTAACCTTAATTTTAATTTAGCAATTTTAAAAATAGAAAATTATATTAAATGACATAAAATAAATATATACTTATAAAAATAACATTACTTTTTTTAAAAGTTTACAAAAAGTAATTTTTGTTGGTCTCATATATAGGATTTTTTTAAAAAAATAATGTTTTTTAAAAAACAAATGACACAAATAAGGTAGGTTTGAAAGTATTTTTAAAAGTATGGTAGTGAAATCGCACCCATTGGATGCGATTTCAGGTAAATCGCAATTAATTGCTGCGATTCTAGGTCGAAATCGCAGCCAATGACTACGATTTTGTGAATGTCGCAGTCATTGACCGCGACTTCGGTGTGACATGRCTTTAAGGATGCCACGTGTTGGGCATGCAGTTGCTGCGAGTTATATATTCTATATATATTATTTTGTAAATTGGTTCAATGGTAAGAATTGTGCAACATTGGTGATAAAGGTCATTATCAACCCTCTCTATTCATGGGTTTGATTCCCTCCTCTCGGTTTGACCTTCATTTTTTTTTCAATCTTTCTCTTTTTACTTTCTTTTAAGTTTTTTTTCTTTCAATTTCTCTTTTAACATTTTCTATTTCGTTTTCTCTTTTGACTTTTGTTTTAACTTTTTTTTTCCATTTCTCTTTTCACGTTTTTTTTATTTCATTTCTCTTTTTACTTTTTTTTTAATTTTTTTTTCAATCAATTTTTCTTTTAATCTTTTCTATTTCGTTTTCTTTTTTAATTCTTTTTTTTTTGTCCAAATTGTACTTCTACTTCACGTTTTTTACATTTTT